TAATCTCTGAGAGAAAGAAAGCAAATGGTAAGCCCCACCTTTGCCTGGAGACAGGTCCCAGGCTACAACACAGGGAGGAGAAACTGAAATAGATCCCAGTGGTCTGCCCGGTTGGAGAAAACAGAGTTGAGAATTCAAGAAAGCTAAGGCAGTTAAAATTAGGAGGACAGAATAGCAGAGCAGAGAGTTACACAGAAAGGAGAGAGCTGCAAAGACAGAGCTCCAGGAGCCTGCAGAGGGTTACTCTCAAGTTTTCACCCTAGTACTGATCAGTGCAGGAAAACTACGCAAAGCCAGAAAAAGAACCATTCCAGGAGCTGACATAGGGCCAAGAAGAGTTTTGATTTCCACCAGCCAGGGTGGAAAAACCTTGTAATATATGGGACATCAGGTAGAGTACTCAGAAGGGGACTGCCTCAACAGTGGGGAAAAATTAGCCATAGTTGTTAAAGACTGCCTTTGTTAAAGACTGGCTTTGTCTATAAACAACAACAAAAGTCTTTAAAAGATCAAACTGTTTCCAAGTAACTAAACTGAGTCCCAAAACACAGCTCGAGAATAGTGAAAGGAATATAAAAATATCCAGGACCCAGTAAGGTAAAATTCACAATGTCTGGCATCCAATAAGAAGTCATCAAGCAGGCAAAAACAAACAAACAAACAAAAAAAAAAACCCAGAAAAACATGACCCTTAAAAGGAGAACTATCAGTTAACAGAAACAGTCCTAAAAAGACATAGATGTTAGAATTAGTAAATGGGAACTTTAAAACAATTATTATAACTATATTCCATATGTTTAAGAAAGTAAAGGAAAGCACAAATATGTTAAAGAGAGATATGGAAGATTTAGAAAAGGATCCAAGTCAAACTTCTAGAGATGAAAAATAGAATACCTAAGATTAAAACTATAGTAGATGGAATAGCAAATTAGACATTTTAGCAGAAAAAATTAATGAACTTGAAGACATAGCTAGAGAAAGTATTTCAAATGAAACAGAGACAAAAACATCTGGAACCAAAAAAAAACCAGAAGAACAGAGCATCATGATGTGAGCTGTGGGACAACTTCAAGTGACCTAATACATGTATGACTGGAATCCCTGAGGGAAGGGGTGGGAGTGGTCAACAAAAACATTTTAAGAAAATAATGGCCCCAAATGTCCAGATTTGATGAAACCTATAAGCTCACCTTTCGAAGCAGAACTTCAAACAAGAGAAACATGAAGAAAATTAAACCAAGGCACACCATAATCAAATTGCCTAAAACCAGTGATAAAGAGCTGCTGTGTAAGAAGCACAAGTACTCTAAAACCAAAATGCTATAAGATGCATAGTTTCTCACATGAGAAGCCCAGAAGGATGAGATGAGGAGGGAAAAAGAAAGAAAGGAAGGGAGAGGTGAGCACATACCAAGAAGCAGCAAGGTTCCAGACTTGCGAGTTAAGAAGCATCTTGGAAGTGGATCCCGCCTCAGAAACCAGCTGATACTACATGGTCAGGGATGAAGTGCCCAGTCAAGCTCTTCCCAAATCCCTGACCCACAGAATCATGAGCAAAATAAAATGATTGTTTTAAGCCACTAATGTGTCATCCAGCAATACATAACATTTCTAATGGCTCTTTTCTGTCAACATTTAATCCTTCCTTTCCCATCTTAAAAACTAATCTTCCCTCCACCTCACATACCTCCAGCTATACGTTTACGTCCCTTCTCAGACAAGACTGATGAAAGCTATCTATAATGACTGTCTCCACTTTATCTCTCTCTCACATCTCATCCAAATTCCACTGCAATCTACTCCTGCCCCCACCACTTCTTGGAACAGTCCTCGCTACCTTCACCAGTGGCTTCCTTATTGCTGAAACTAATGAACACTCTTCAGTTCTTACTGACTGCTCCTACAGTATCTGAAACAGCAAGCACTCACTCAGACCTTTCAGTACCCTCTCTTTGAGAGAGCGAGTAAGACACCACTTCTGATACTCCTCCAGTCTCTGAGGAGGAACATCAGATGCCTCAATCTCTTTTATAGGCTTCTCTTTTCTGTCTATCCCTTAAATGTTGAAGCTCCTCAGGATTCTATCTTTAATATTACCAGAGGGACAGGTCCCCTACAAAAGGTTTTTATTTGAGGAATTAGCATAATGAGATTTGTTCTGCATTTATGAAAAAATTTCTCAGGTGGCTGTGAGAGAAACAGTATTAAGGCAGCAAGAGATGTGGGGAGATCAACAGGGAAAGTCCACAGTTGCCCACAAAAAAGACCATTTAGAGAATAAAGTACCTGGTCTACTTCAGTTTACAAAGATTTTACCAAAAACATCGGATACAGTTTGAATATACTGAAAGTAAAGTATCCAAATCTCACCTCATCTGCTGGCATTATAAACTGCTTAGCAGATTTAAGAAGTCTAAACATCCGGAAGTCATTCAATCTAACGCTTAGGTATGGTTCATTTTTTGTTTGTTTTTGTTTTTTTTGTTTTTTTTGGTGGTACGAGGGCCTCTCACTGCTGCGGCCTCTCCCGTTGTGGAGCACAGGCTCTGGACGTGCAGGCTCAGCGGCCATGGCTCACGGGCCCAGCGGCTCCGTGGCATGCGGGATCTTCCCGGACCGGGGCACGAACCCGCGTCCCCTGCATCGGCAGGCGGACCCCCAACCACTGCACCACCAGGGAAGCCCTAGGTATGGTTCATTTTAAACCACCTCTAATCTTCCAAATTTCCAGAGAACAAGATTTCACTAGGTTTTTCAATAGATTGTTTAGCATTTTACATTCATATATTGCCTGTTAATCTCTCTGGGATCAAAAGAAACAGAAGTGTGCTTATTCCTTCTTATAGTTATTCTGTTCTTGATTTATTATTTCTCAAGAGTGTGAAGTAAAGATACTGAACCCTTTCCCTATGCAACCATTAAAAATACAATGATGTTCTTTCTTTCATTAAATTATCAACAGGTAAAAGTAAGTAATAATATCACTTGATGTTTCCCTAGGTAAACAACACTGAATATGTCCTTATAAATCACTACAGTTTAATGAGAGACTCATTATAATACGGAATCAAAAAACCATGAAAGTTTGCTCTGATTCTTGATCTGGATTTTGATTATCATGGGTGTGTTCCATTGCTCTGATTCTTGATCTATTGTATATGTTGGTAATGTGGGTATATTTAATTTGTAAAAAATCCTTTGAACTACAACTTGTGATATATACTTTTCTGTATATATGTTATACTTCAATAAAGAAAAAAATCCTAAAGCCTGTGAAAGCTCAAATAGATCTGTAGTATGTCTCTTCTCTAAAATGTCAATTATTCTCACAGGAAAAATTCACATATTGTGTTTGTGTAGGATGACTTATCTTCACAGTTACCCACTACCACTCCATTCTTTACAATTAAAACAGTAGTATGTGTTGATTTTTTAAAAATCCAAACATTAAAAATCATCTATAATTTCATCCCCTAGAAATACCACACTTAGAATTTAAATTCAGAGGCTTATTATGACTTCCACATCATCATATTATTAAAAAATTATACCCTTTTCCAGACTTTGTGCATGTCACTTTTTCTCCAAAAATTCTCAAAAATAAAGGAATATTGTTTTGAATCCTAGAACACCAGTAACTGAACTAAACAGGCTTGAGCACAAGCAGTTGTTAAACCATACATTTCTACTATTTCCTCCACAACTTTCAGAGCTCATGTCTTTTCTATATCCTCACAATGTCTATCTCAATGCAAGGCATACAGCAGATGTGTGCTGATGGAAATAAAAGTAGTTCTCTAAAAGAATGAGAATAGTCACTTTCAGATGATACAGTGATGTCTTGATTTCAATTTCTAGGAAGAGAGGGCACAACAGCCTCTGAAAAGTACTCTATCTGCTTGTTTCATTTATTGATCTATTTATTTATTTTTGCTACTTTCATTTAACCCCCGGATTCTGAGAGTTTTCTCCTAACCACTCCTTTTCTTCTACAGTGGAAGCTCCTGTATAAAGGAGTTACCCAATTCAATCTTAGCAATAGTGTCTTTCTATCAACTTCCCATACTTCTCTCCTTTTCTATCCACTCTGTCTATACAGCAATACAAGAAAAGCACTAAGAAACAAGTTACTCTTAGCCATTACATTTTTAAAATATCAAAAAAGTAAAACTTGGTTTACATGTACAGATTAGGATTCTAATATAACTAAAGTCTTAATTTTTCTATTGCCATTTCTATATACTGATAAAAATGAAAAGATATATGCTTAGCATATGCAACAATTTCAGAAGAAACCAACTCTATATTAATCTACAAACCTGATGCTTAACAAAGTATTACCCAACTATGAAGATTTAAAGAGCGTAACAGAAGAACTCCATATAAATATTTTACTATTACTACATAGGAAATGTCACCTTTACTAAAATAAAGCCTTATCAATAGGTTATATGCTATAAATAGACTACCTAGAGAATATGCTTTGTGCCTTCATAATGCTATAAACAATAACTATAATTGTGTAGATTTTTGGATTACCTTTAACAATGGGACAAAAAAAAATCAGATAAAATTGAACTAAAAATCTGTATTTTTAAATCATATCAATAGCATAATCTCAATTTTTTTCATCATGTTGTTGAAATTTTAAGAGCAGACATTTAAATTTTCATACATGACACCTCTATTTTAAATAAAGTTCCCAAATACTTTAAAGAATTCTGCTTTGTTTTGAAGTGCCAAGCTTTAAGAAAAGCTATTCATAAATAAATCCCTGTATCAGACAATCTGGGGAGCTCAAAGAAAACTCCATTCTAATATTCCACTTGCTTCTTGGGCTATACACTGAAACAACATTATTCATTAAATTTCATATTTGTAAAAAAAAAAAAAATTTCATATTTGTTCTTGAGGTAAATGTTAACAAATACCTCTCACTAACAGATAACTGTTACCCATATGCATATGAGTATCTTTAACTATTTTAGCTAGTTACTTACTGAGAGCCAGGCAAGGGATTCCATGATTCGATGTTCACATCGTTCTAAATGTTTAATCATTTCTCTGGTCAAGTTGGCTTCTGCTTTGATAAAACTTTCAATCACTTTGTAAAAATCAAAAGCTTTTAAATTAAGTACATTCAGAATCCAAGGGAAGGACAAATCTGTTCCAGTATCCAGATTCTGAGATGTACTTCCTAAAAATGAAAGAAAAACGTAACTTAGGTATGAAATGTTAAGCCTTGAATGACATATTTTTTGGTTTGAAGGTTTTATCAAACAAAAAATTAAAACACAGTAGAAAGGCTAAACAAAAATTTTTATTTAGAACATAATTTTTTATTCTGGGGTCCACAGACTCCTAGGAAATAGGCTTCCAAAGTTTGAGTGTATGTGCATATATATGTCTTTCCTGGATAGAAGGCTCACAGCTTATATCAAATTTTCAAAGGTTTAAACACCCTAAACTTGTATCCGGGACACGTTTAACATCTAACCAGCAATGCATTAGCATATCCATTTTAACTGTCTCATTAATCCTCGATTAAGAGAGGAAGTGATTCTTTAAGATTTTGACAATTTGATTGGTTAGTAAATATGTTTTAATTATGCATTTCTTGGTTATAAATGAGGATTCACAGATGTCCATATTTGTTTACTAATTTAAGTGCCTCTTTTATTATATATTTGTATCCTTAGATAAATTTTCTTGTTGTTTTTTTGCAAACAAAACTTTTTTTGGACATTTGCAACATTATTTGCAAAATAATACGTGTTTAAAATTATATTTTAAAAAAAAACACTATTGGTGGCCTCTGTTCTCTTTATCTGGTGGATTCTAGCTCCAACCTTTCGTCTCATAACCACAGAATATATATGTAGCTTCCGTATCAGTGGAATCTGCTCAGTAGTACTCCTCAGGCATTTTACAGTCTCATAAGTCTTTGAAGGGGTTTCAATAGGTACATTTCCTGGATTCACGATAGTCCAGAATAGGAGTCTAGTGCAACTATTCCCAAGATGACATGAAATAATTCAGGTTAATAAACCACTTTATGGTGACCACATTACGGTGACCAATTACATTCTTCAGTATATACTGATCTAAAATATGCATTTCTTCTCCTTAACTCCTTAACTTCTCCATTCCGCCCACCACAAAAACCTATACCACACATTAGGTAAGTTTTTTTTAACTTTAAATTGAACTAAAATGTTTATTTACTAAAATTTAACTTACTGCTATATGTAGCCATTACAACCTCAAGAGCGCATGCCAACAAAGACATATGAAAGATGTTGTCATTCAGGAGTTTGCTAAAGGAAAAAAAAGAATGATTTTGTAACATTTACTTTTAAAAAAAGAAGAAATTGTTTTACTAAAACAAAAATTTACCTAAAATTTTGAATGGATAATCGTTCTTCTTCCTAAAACAGGTCAAAAAAAAATTAACTGAAGCCTTCTTTGTGTCAGCATTAATTTTTTTTCTATTATATTCTTTTAAACTTACTGATTTAAGCATGGATTCCATTACTCGGTAATACAATCGGACTCCAAGTTTGTATCGCTACAAAGAAAGAAAAAAAATTAGATCCCACTATTTTAGAAAAACATAACAATTACTAATTTTTTAAAAGTTTTCTCTTGAGACACATTCCTGACCCTTCTTAGGAATATGGCTACCAAGAGATCACAAAAGCTTGCTTGTCTAAAACTCAAGATTTAAGTATAAAATGATGGTTTTAACATTCCTGATAAATTTTCAAGAGGAGGGGTCCAGTAGTTGGTTTCCTATCATTCCACTTCAGTCTACATCATTCAACAGATATATGTGTGCTAAGAATATATTACATACCTGGTACTATTTTAACCATTTTACATACTAATGTAATACTTCTTGTGACCTAGAACACGTATTTTCAAGATAGCTCTCCAGGATTAAGATAATAGTCTCTTTCCATAAAACTGGTCAAAGGCAAAAATCAGACCTACCTGATCTTATAAGCAAAAAGTTATCAAACAACTAGTTTTCATTAGTCCAAAGAACAGTCAAATTTTAGATAAACACACACACACACACAAACACACACCAAAATCCTTCATTCCAAATTATGAGTACAAATTTCATATATAACCAAAAAGAACTTTTAAATATAATGGTTTAAAACACAGATGGAATCAAAATATAACCTCACTACACCGAAATAAATGTGTATAGTAGATTACAGTTTTCAAATATATTTTATATATTACCCATTAATGCCACAGAGAAAAGCAGAGCAAATATAGAAACCTGAATCTCAGAGAAGTTAGATGACAGCTCATATATGATAGAACCAGATATAAACCCAGGGCTCTGATCCAGAGCCCACTGGCTTACCATTTATTAGTTTTAGATTTTCTGAAATAATAATAGCAATAGTAAAAACAACATCATTTAATAATATCACTGATAAATGGCATGTATAATATGATTCCATTTGTATAAGTATATGCATACATGAATATTCATATATGTAAAAGTTAAAGAATATACACCAAAAACTTAATGTTAGCAAGATTTTGATTTTTTTCTTACTGTATTTTTAAAATTTTCTACAATTCTTCTAAAATTTTCTGCACGTTTACTTTTGGTTTCTGTAATGGAGTGAGGGGAGCTGTCCCATAAAGCTTTCCATAAACAGCAGCATAGACAAGCAGCTGGGATATAGTATCTGCCAATATTTTATACTATTGGACAGATACTATTACAGCATTTATGCAACTGGGACAGATGTTGCATTTGAAATTATTTACTATATAGTGGCACTAATCAAAATGAACTCAAGTTACCTGTGATCCAATTTCCATACATCCCTGTCCCACAGCTTTAGCAAATTTCTCTTTAAAGATGTACCCAATATCCTTCACTCTTTTCAGGATGCTTTCCTTTGGATTCACTGTGCAATTCTTTAAGAAGGAAAAACATGAATTAACATTGAGGATACTGTTTAATCAGAGAATTAGCATTTTCTGTTCTATACTACATGACTTATCACTCTCAATTGTTTATACTGTGGAAACACTTCCACAATAAACTAGGTAAATACAACTACTGAAAATATGAGGGACATAAAGGATTCCATTCTGGGATAATAGGGACCAAAAATACTAGAGTACAACTAAAAAACTCTATTATCTAAATTTTCTGCTGGCAAGTTAGGGAAGAACAGATTTGTTAGCCCTTTCCATTATCCATCAAAAACAGCCTCACAGATATTACAATTGATACCACAGGAATACAAATGATCATAAGAGACTACTATGAACAACTGAATGCCAACAAACTGGACAACCTTGAACAAATGGATAAATTCCTAGAAACATACAACCTTCTAAGGTTGAATCATAAGGAACAGAAAATCTGAAAAGACTAATTACTAGTAAGAAGAAAGAATAGGTAACCAAAAACCTCCCAATAAATAGAAGTCCAGAACCAGATGGTTTCACTGGTGAATTCTATCAAACATTCAAAGAAGAATTACTACAAATCCTTCTCAAACTATTCCAAAAAAACAGAAGATGAGGAAACACTCCCAAACTCATTTTATGAGGCCAGCACTGTCCTGATACCAAAACAAGGACACCACAAGGAAAGTAAATTATAGGCCAATATCCCTCCTGAATACAAATGCAAAAATCCTTAACAAAATATCAGCAAACCCAATTCAAGAATACATTAATATTCTTGAAAGGATCTTATACCATGATCAAGTGGGATTTATCCCAGTGATGGTTCCATATCTGCAAATCAATCAATGATATGCCATATTAACAAAATAAAAGATTAAAATTATGTGATCATCTCAACAGATGCAGAAAAAGCATTTGACAAAATTCAACATCAATTTATGATAAAAACTCTTAACAAAGTGAGTATGGAGGGAATGTACCTCAACATAATAAAGGCCATACACGACAAGCCCACAGCTAACATCATACTCAACAGTGAAAAGCTGAAAGCTTTTCCTCTAAGGTCAAGAACAACACAAGGATGCCCACTCTTGCCACTTTTATTCCATAGTATTGGAACTCTTAGAGCAGTTAGGCAAGAAAAAGAAATAAAAGGCATCCAAATTGGAAAGGAGATAAAACTGTCATTATTTTCAGATGACATGATATTATATATAGAAAACCTTAAGGACTCCACAAAAAACCTGTTAGAACTAATAAAAAAAATCAGTAAAGTTGCAGGATACAAAATCAACATACAGAAATCAGTTGTATTTCTATACACTAATAACACACTATCAGAAAGAGAAATTAAGAAAACAATCACATGTACAGTTGTATCCAGAATAAATTTAACCAAGAAGGTGAAAGATCTGTACAATGAAAACTTAAGACCCTAATGAAAGAAACGTTAAAAGATACACATAAATGCAAAGCTACTGCATGCTCATGGAGTGGAAGAATTAATATTGTTAAAATGCCCATACTACCCAAAGCAATATACAAATTCAATAAACTTCTTGTCAAAATTCCAAGGTATTTACACAGAAATAGAACAAACAATTCAAAACTGTGTGCAGAACCACAAAAGACCCCAAATAGCCAAAGCAATCCTGAGAAAGAAGAACAAAGCTGGAGGCATAAAACTATATTATAAAGCTACAGTAATCAAAACAGTTTGTTATTGATATAAAAACAGAGATCAGGGCTTCCCTGGTGGCACAGTGGTTGAGAGTCCGCCTGCTGATGCAGGGGACGCGGGTTAGTGCCCCAGTGCAGGAGGATCCCACGTGCCGCGGAGCAGCTGGGCCCGTGAGCCATGGCAGCTGAGCCTGCGCATCCAGAGCCTGTGCTCCACAACGGGAGAGGCCACAACAGTGAGAGGCCCGTGTACCGCAAAACGAAAACAAAAACAAAAACAAAAAAACAGAGATCAATGGAACAGAATAGAGAGCCCAAAAATAAACCCATGCACATTATCAATTAATTTACCACAAAAGAGCCAAGAATACACAGTAAGAAAAGGACAGTCTCTTCAATAAATGTGTTGGTAAAACTGGAAAGCCAGTTTCAAAAAAATGAAATTATACCACTGTCTTACACCACACACAAAAATTAACTCAAAATGGGTTAAAGACTTGAACATAAGACCTGAAACCATGAAACTCTTAGAAGAAAACATGGGTGGTAAGCTCCTTGTCATTAGTCTTGGAGATGGTATTTTGGAATTGACTCTGGAAGAAAAGGCAGCAAAAGCAAAATAAACAAGTGGGACTATTTCAAACCAAAATGTTTCTGCACAGTGAAGGAAACTATCAACAAAAAGAAAAGGCCACCTACTGGATGGGAGAAGATATTTGCAAACGATATATCTGATAAAGGGTTAATATCCAAACATACAAAGAACGCATACAACTCAACACCAAAAAAACAAACTAGCTGATTAAAAAAATGGGCACAAGAAATGAATACACATCTTTCCAAAGAAGACATACAGATGGCTAGCAGTCACATGAGATGCTCAACATCACTAATCATCAGAGAAATGCAAATCAAAACCATTATGAGATATCACCTCACGTCTGTCTAATGGCTATTATCAAAAAGAGAACAAATAACAAGTGTTGGCGAGGGTATGGAGAAAAGGGAACCCTCATGTGCTGTTGGTGGGAATGTAAATTGGTGCAACCACTGTGGAAAACAGTTTGGAGGCTCATCAAAAAATTAAAACCAGAACTACCATACAATCCAGCAATTCCACTTTTGGGTATTTATCTGAAGAAAATGAAAACACTTAATTTGAAAAGATATGCACCCCTATGTTCATTGTAGCATTATTTACAATAGCCAAGAATAGAAACAACCTAGGTGCCCATTGATAGATGAATAGATAAAGATGTGGTATATATATACAATGGAATATTATTTGGCCATAAAGAAAAAACAAATTTTGCCATTTGTGACAACAACCAGAATGGACCTAGAGAGTATTATGCTAAGTGAAGTAGATCAGACAAAGAAAGCAAATACTGTATGATTTCACTTATATATGAAATCTAAAAAAAAAAAACAAATGAACAAACACAACAAAATAGAAACAGAGTCATAGAGATAAAGAACAAACAGGTGGTTGCCAGAAGCGAGGGATGTGGGGAAAGAGAGAAACAGATGAGGGAGATTAAGGGGTACCAACTTCTAATTACAAAATAAATGAGTCACAGGTATGAAATGTACAGTGTAGGGAATACAGTCAATAATTATATAATATCTCTGTACAGAGACAAATGGTAACTAGACTTACCGTGGTGATCATTTTGAGATGTACAGAGATATCGAATCACTATACTGTGCACCAGAAACTAACCCAGTGTTGTAGGTCAATTATACTTCAAAAAGAAACAAACAAACTCATAGAAAAAAGATCAAATTTGTAGTTACTAGAGGCGGGGGGTGGGTAGGGGAAGGGGGAACTGAATGAAGGCAGTCAAAAGGTACAAACTTCCATTTATAAGGTAAATAAGTACTAGGGATGTAATGTACAACATGATTAATATAATTAACACTGCTGTATGTTATACATGAAAGTTGTTGGGAGTAAATCCTGAGGGTTCTCTTCACAAGGAAAAAAATTTTTTTTCTATTTCTGTTACTTTGTATCCAAATGAGATAATGGATGTTCACTCAACTTATTGTGATGATAATTTCATGATGTATGTAGGTCAACCCATTATGCTGTATACCTTAAACATCAAGCATATCTCAATAAAACTGGAAGAAAAAAATGTCTATAGCTTCTAAGATTTTACTTACACACAGAAGAAAAGATGGCATTAATTTTTAAAATGAAGACACCTGAACTAATAAAGAAGCAAATTCAAAGAAAAACTTAATGGTCTTCAAGATATGCCCACTCTGAGATAGGCCATTTGTAGTGTACATAAAACTTTGCAGTTAAACTGTTGCGCTTCATTTAATGTTAAGCTTTAAACTGAGCTCTGGAAAATGTCTTTGAGGCAGAATTTTCTACCCAACTGAAGTAGTTTAAAATAAAAAAGACTTCCTACATAATCCAAATGTTGGAGGAAATATTAAAAACAATATTTAAGAAGAGAGAGATTATCATTCTTTTTACTTCTACCATTATCCCTTCTAAAAGTTCTAAGTAACTGGGTAGCTATGTTTGGGAAATACTCTTGTGCTACAGATAAGCCACAAATAAAAGCAACTTTATGCAAACTGGACAAACAAAATCAGTTTTGAGCCAACACAATTATGAATATGATGACAGAAAATACTCTGTTAATTCTTGGGGGGTGGAAATATAAACAAGACAACAAAGAATATGACAAAACCACAGGCAGCTTATGATATTAAATGGAATGTTAACCACACAAAGCACTTACTGGATAAGCCAAATTTTAGTAAGTCTCCTAGCCTCATCCAACTGCCACAGATAAGCATTTCAGTGGCTCCCAAGCCTCACTTGATTTTAAAGGAGTAAAGGAGCAAACAAGGAATATAGACACTAGTTTTCATTCTCTCTCTTCCTCTCTCCCTTTTTTGAGAGGAGGGAGGCTAGCAGGGGTCCTTCAGATATCAAACTCAGGGTCCATCAGGAGTTGCAAACTGCAATGCACACAGGGCCACTCAAGAAATGTACATGAAAGTGGGCTAAATAAAAAAGACCGTAGAGATATGGCAAATGTTAAATCCTGTCTAATGTCACATTCAAAGAAAATATCTTAAAAGAGCCAGAGAGAAAAGATAAACTATAAGGGAACAACAGATGGACTGACAGAAAACATCTTAGTAGCAACGAGAGCCAGGAAATAGTGAAGTAATATCTTCAAACTACTAAGAGAAAGTAAAGGTCAGCCTAGAATTGAAGATCCAGGTATACTACCTTACAAAAAGTAAGAGTGAAGATATTTTTTAAAAAATTTATGTATGTATGTATGTAATTTATTTGGCTGTGCCAGGTCTTAGTTGTGGCATGTGAGATCTTAGTTTCCTGATCAGGGATCGAACCCGGGCCCCCGCACTGGGAGAGCGGAGTCTTTACCACTGGACGACCAAGGAAGTCCAAGAGTAAAGACATTTTAAGACAAAAAACAAAACAAAAAGCTTGTAAGTTCATCCCAAACTAACCCCCACTAAAGGAATGATTAAAAGATGTATCTGAAGAAAGAAGAAAATAATTATGAAAGTGAGGTCTAAGTTGTAAAAAAGAATGGTGAGCAACACAAAAAGTAAATATGAGAAAATCTAAAAATAACACTGTCTAAATAAAACAACACTACTAATAATATCTAATTTGGAGAGTTAAAAAAAGCAAGAGGGCTTCCCTGGTGGCGCAGTGGTTAAGAATCCGCCTGCCAAGGCACGGGACACGGGTTCAAGCCCTGGTCTGGGAAGATCCCACATGCTGCGGAGCAACTAAGCCTGTGTGCCACAACTACTGAGCCTGCACTCTAGAGCCCACGAGCCACGACTACTGAGCCCGTGTGCCACAACTACTGAAGCCCGCACGCCTAGAGCCCGTGCTCTGCAACAAGAGAAGCCACCTCAATGAGAAGCCCACGCACCGCAAGGAAGAGTAGCCCCCGCTCGCCGCAACCAGAGGAAAGCCCGCGTGCAGCAACAAAGACCCAACACAGCCAAAAATAAAAATTTTTTATAAAAAAAAAAAGCAAGAAATGAGATAGTAGACAACTACATGTTGGTTGGGAAATGGGTGTTTAAAAAAACACTCAGTATTTTAACTTTTAATTTCAAATTTATTTGCCAAAATATCATAATAAATAATGTTTCATATATGGCTTACATTAAAATAGGAAATCAGATTTTCTGACGGTTGATCACTTGCTGAATTTAAGATCATCATTAATTGCTGGATAGTATTCATGACAGTCCTAGAAAAAAATAGGAAGAAGTGTTAAGCAATGAAGGAATAAAAAGAAAAAATGATAAGTATCTATTTCATAAGTTACACATATCTTCAATCTCATTGTCTCCTGTTTATCTTTAAGAAGTTCTCTGAAATAAGACTTTATAAAAGCCTTAGTGTACTGCTGTTTATGAGGAATTACATTTTACTTAAATCTTTAAGAAAGCATATGTCGATCATCAGTAAGTTTATAATTAAAGAACTGATATGCTTATTTACTAATAGAACTAAATATCAACAAAACAATTGATGAAAAAGTAATGACATTATTTTAAGGATAAAACATAAACTGGCATCAAAATGGTAATATTTTAAGAAAACATTATTACAATTAAATATTAAAATTTTTCAAATAAAGACAGTAAGATATTTAGTAACTCAAGTAGATAACCAAGTGACTGTCCTTTACAGAGACCTTCAAGATGAAAGCATACATAATTTTAGAAGTCATCATCACTAAAACATAAATGTAGGTCAATCTCTTTAAGATCTCTTTAATTATATAAGTGTGTGTGTGTGTGTGTATGTGTGTGTGCACGTGTCTGTGTATGGTACATGGTAAATATTAATGTTCCAATTTTGGAGTAGCAGTTCATTGCTACTCTGTAGGCACTGTTTAATGATGCAAAAAACTGTAGAATGTTTATAGCCAAAAGGGTCTTTAAATATTATTTAATAAAACATGTTCAGGGGCTCCCCTGGTGGCGCAATGGTTGAGAGTCCGCCTGCCGATGCAGGGGACGGGTTCGTGCCCCAGTCCGGGAGGATCCCACATGCCGCGGAGCGGCTGGGCCCGTGAGCCATGGCGGCTCAGCCTGTGCGTCCGGGGCCTGTGCTCCACAACGGGAGAGGCCACGACAGTGAAAGGCCCACGTACAGCAAAAAAACAAACAAACAAAAACATGTTCAGTGTTCTCAGTCAAGCCTCTCTAAACTGATATCTACTCTTCCTCAACTTTTAAATATATTGCTTCTATGACGTGTACATGTACTAATCTACTTAAGCCACAATGACTAAAGCCATAAGTGACCAACTGCTAAAACCAAAAGAGATTTTTTATTTGTTCTGATACTTGATTTTCTTGAGGTATTTGACACTCTTAAACACTTGCTCTCTTCTGAAACTCCCGTCCTCCCTTGGCTTCTTTGGCTTCATTCTCTGGCCTCCCTAATCACACCTCTCATTCTCTTTAATCTAACTTCTATCTCGTCCTTAAATGCTAGCATTCTTTAGGGTTCAGCCTTTAGCCAACCGTTATTGCTATTATGCACCCTCACTTCAGGCAACCTCATTATGGTTTTTTTTTTGAATTTTATTTATTTTTTTATACTGCAGGTTCTTATTAGTCATCCATTTTATACACATCAGTGTATACATGTCAATCCCAATCTCCCAATTCATCACACCACCCCACCGACCCTGTTTTTCTGAATTAACTCTCCCTGATGATTCCCAAATCCATAAGATCCTTATATCCTACTACTTACTACATTATCTTCTTCATATCCCATAAATGCCTTAAGAATAATATTCTACATATGAATTCATCAACTATTTATCAAACCTGTTCTTGCTCTTTCACTCCAACTGCCTATCTCTTGGTTCAGATCTTCAGCATCTCTCAACTGGATTACTGCAATAGAGCATTTTGAGATTTTGACTATGTCTATGGCAGCAGGGTCTAGGCATATATACTTTGAAAAAAAAAAAAAACTCCTCAGGTTGTCCTAATTTGCCTAACCACTGTGACAGACTGACAGGTCTCTCTATTTCTCACCACGCCCTTCTCAGTCCATCTCTTCACAAACTACTACCATGTAAACTTTCACAAATCAAGTCTGATTTTTTTTTTTTTTTTTTTTTTTGTTGGGTGCGTGGGCTTTTCCTTTTTTTGGCCTCTCCCGTTGCGGTGCACAGGCTCCAGACACGCAGGCTCAGCGGCCATGGCTCACGGGCCCAGCCGCTCCGCGGCATGTGGGACCTTCCCGGACCAGGGCACGAACCCGTGTCCCCTGCATCGGCAGGTGGACTCTCAACCACTGCGCCACCAGGGAAGCCCTCAAGTCTGATTTTATCCTAGCCCTGCTTAACACCCAGGTATAGCAACAGGCCATATCCTGCACAAGCTAAAGTCCAAACTTCTGAGTATGGAATATAAGGCCTTTCATGATCTAATACCCACCCTCCTCTCCTGCCATTTCATCTTCCCATTTAGTCCATCAATACAGAGCTGCTTATAGTTCCCCAGATGCATCATGTTGTTTCATACTTCCATGCCTTTGCACATGCTGTCAGTCTCCTGTGACACAAACTTACATGTTTCAAAATTCAGTTCAAATATCACTTCATAAAGTCCCTTCTGTGCCATCTCATTAACTTGTCCTATGTCTCTTACCATATTTAAACAAAAATGTATTTTTATGTGTCTATGTAGTCATTTGAAAAAATTACTGATTGTTTTACTATGTACCAAGTATTCTCCTAGGTCCTAATGATTAAATGGTGAACAAGAAAGTCATGGTCCATGTGGTATGGACTTAAAGGCTATTGTGGGTATTGACAAAAACAAGCAAACACACAGATGAATTTATAATTACAAATTGTGATACATACTTTGAAGGAATAGAACAGGATGCTGTGAGAAAGAATAATAAAGGAAAATACTTCAGAGAGAAATAAGTCCACAAAAAAGTAGTATTTGTGCTGAACCTAAAAGAAGGGTAGTAGTTGGCAATTCATAGAAAAGAAGGAAGAGTTTCAAGAAGAAACAAAAGTGGGGCTTCCCTGGTGGCGCAGTGGTTGAGAGTCCGCCTGCCGATGCAGGGGACACGGGTTCGTGCCCCGGTCCGGGAAGGTCCCACATGCCGCGGAGTGGCTGGGCCCGTGAGCCATGGCCGCTGAGCCTGCGCGTCCGGAGCCTGTGCTCCGTGACGGGAGAGGCCACAACAGTGAGAGGCCTGCGTACCACAAAAAAAAAAAAAAAAAAAAAAAAACAGAAGAAACAAAAGCAAATATGAAGGTCACTGAGTACAAAAGAAGACTTTGGAGAGTTCAGAAAACTGGCTAGTACATAATGAGCAGGAAAACAAGATGAGGTTGGGGAGGTAACAGAAGCTAGATCATATAAGGTCTTGTAGGCACTGTTAAGGAATTTGCACTGTATTTCAATTGCAGTAAGAAGCAATCACAAACTTAACAGCAATCTAGCTCTCTGATTTCATGTCTTTTGGTCTTGGTGACTGATAATAGGTGTGTCTGAAATGCTGCTTCCTCACTGAGTACTTGTTCTTCATCATTTATTTAAGCATTCTTTTCTCCACACATTATCACATAAAGTTCTCAGTTGTTCTGTTCTCACTGAAGAGCAAGACATATGAGGAAAAATGTGAAAAGAAACAGATGGATGGATGGCACACCACTAAGGTAAAACATTTCTACCATATAATCACAGTCATTTCAACCAAAGCTACATCCAATTAAGTAGCTTTTTAAAAATACTCCAAAGAGTGAATTCCATGGCAGTGCAGTGGTTAGGACTTGGCTTTCACTGCCGGGGCCTGGGCTCCATCCTGGTGGAGGAACTAAGATCCTCCAAGCCACGCGCTGTGGCCAAAAAAAAAAGCCTCAAAAGAGTTGCTCCAAGTACAGTAATGCTAATAATGTTGATGGCACAAATCATGGCTCCTATGCTTAAAGAAGCATAGCAAAGTAAATTAGAATCAAATTTGATTACAGATATTTACTTCTATTTAAATATTTAATGGTATTTAGAAGTTCAAAAGCCTACATTCTGATTTTTGAAACATTTTAGTACAAATCAACTTCTAGTGCAAACTTTTAAATGCTGCTTATTTATACATTTGAGCATAAATGGGTTCAAAAGGGGTTTTTTCTTACTATATAAAGTTGATTCACCACAATTCTACTTAGATTCTTTCCTTGAGTAAAAAATATTTAATATACAGTAAAGTGATCTTAAGAAATTTAGGCAACTATTCCTCCCTTGCTAAAGTCCCGAAACACATTAATTTTTTATTACGTTTTCTTTCAGATTACCTCTGGAAGTCCGTTAGAAGCTACAATTCCAAGAGAATTCATAAAAGGTATAAAATTTTTGAAATAAACATTTTTCACCTGAAAAAGATAAAGTTACATGATAATTACATTTTTTTAAAAAAAATCTGTCACTATTAACAATAGAATGAAAGTGTTAACTGACATTTTGATCAATGAGTTACATTCAACCCAGTGTGATGCTTATTTATAATTAATTCAATTATTCACTTTTTAATTCATGTGAGGCAGATTTCAGGTCCTAAAATGGAGGTACAGGGGGGAATTGTTAATGAAATGGGATTTATAAGAAGAAAATCCATCGAAACCAACTTCAATATCCCACATTTAACAAATGGTGAAAACATGGGAGGCTCAAAAATATTAAGCGACTTCACCAAAGTTACACAGCTAGGAAGTGGCAGAGCTGGAATTGAAACCCAATCTGTCTAGCATCAAAGCCAAGACTCTTTTAATTTCTCTACACTGCCTCTGATTTCTCCCCAAAGCATATTTTTGGGCCACTTCACACACATACCTAGCTTAGGGAATATCGAGTCAATTATTTCAGCATAAATTTAGGAAAATGACCTGCTTTTATAAGAAGATAATTTCACATACAAATACCCAACAATTCTATTCAAAACCCAGTGAAAATGTTTTGGTCATTATGCAGTTTCACACAAAAAACCCTACATTTAACATGGATAATAAAGACCGTCCTTGGAAAAGCTGGAGTTATACCCCTAACTATTTTACACTGGCAAAGTGTTATGGAATTTTAAACAACTTACTTTTCTTCATTTAACTTCCTTTTCCAATTTGCAGTCTACATTTATTAAGGCAGAATAATTTAATATCTTCCTATTAATAAGTTCCTATCTTCTGCTTCACAAAAATGCTTTACGAATTAAGCTTCTGTAATACATATTAGTATTGTTTTCTAATTAATTCCCACTGAACTGGAATAATTATAAGGTGGGTAGTTCTATTTAACCAATTAGTGTGACTAACCAATAATTATATAACCATAAGTATAACTAACCAATAGTTATATAACTATAAATGCTACATGTAAATAATCAAATGTCAAATTAATATGAATTACCCCAAAAGCTATTAATCACCTACACTTTACAAATCGTTATTACATTCTAAATTATAGAAGCATTATTTAAAATAAAAAGGAAAAACATGATTTATTCCTGATTTTTGAAATGCAATTTTATAAGTAGTTCTAAAATACAGAGAACTAACAACCAGGAATTAGAAAACTGCATTTATTCCTATTCGTTACCTTGAGGGAGTAAGCAACAGACTGGAGTAAAAAAAAATATTTCAACTACATTTGTCAGCTTATTAGCAAAGATAATTTGTTATTCTAGAAAAGTAAATATATTACATGTGTAAAGTTGATACAGCTATATGTCTATATCTATATATTTGTTAAAATTAATAAAAGCCACAGTGCTAAAACCCAGATATCTTGATAAATCATTCCAACACTTCTTAAACTAGATTTTGAGATCATACCCCCAATTCCTTCCCAGAGTTGACAGAGCAATTTCAAAGATGCAACATTTCACATAGCTATCTAGTGGTAGTGAATTTTGGACAATATAACAGTCTATGAGAGAAAGAGCACGGCACAGTGAAAGAAGCACTGGTAGCAGATGGTCCAAAGCATAGACTCTGTTAGTAATCAGCTATCAGTCTCTAGAAGCTTGTTTATTCATTAGTAAAAGGAGGCCAAGTACATTACTTGTAAGATTCCTTCCAATTCTAACATTCCAGATTTTATTGACAAGATAAGCAATTCCTGGGTGTTCATGTATCCTCTACCAGTCATTAACATCTGGTGTGATATTTAGAAAAAGAGTAACTACAGAAGGCTAAACAGAAACTTAATGTTGGTATCACTTAGCACTAAATCAAAACACTAGGGTTTTCTGAGCAGGATACTTGAAAACATTAGGCGTATCAGTAACCACAGAGGAATCAAAGAACAAATACATTTGAAAACTATTGCTTTAATCATGTACATTTCAATGATTCCAGAGTGAGGGAGCTATTCTCTTCAAAATCAAAGTAACTGAATATGAAAATTAAACTTTTTCTAAATATTTTGCTATTGCAAAAGAGTTGGCACTAATTACAAAAAGCAAGCTCATCATAAAAGAATTAAATACTGTTAGGAAGAACTTACATCTAAATCTACTTTAACTATTTTAAAGAAATCATGAAGTTAAATTACCTCATCTATATTACATTCATGTTCTTTACAGAGAACTTCAATAATTCTTGTATCATTTTCTAGTTGTTTTGCTATCCGTGCACTCCTGTTCTGACCTCGCCTTGGTGTTCGAGGTGAACCATTAATAGGTATTACAGCTGTTTCTGTAAAAATGGTAAATTAGATAAGAACAATTGCACATTCCACTGTATAAAATAATGAAGTATTCTAATTATAACTCGGAAGGTCAGAAATAATCTTGGTAACATTCTGCTACTTTTATTATTAGGCTTCATTAAAAAGCTAACAGCTTTATTTATTGAATATCTACTTTAAGTTATATACTGGTAATAGTTGCTACCATCCCTATTCTCTTCTGTCCCCAACTAGCCCAAAAAGAAATTTAAAACCCCACAGACAAATATGAAAAATGCAAGGGAAATAGCCAACTTATAAACTAATATTAAGTGTATCCTACTAGTCTGCAAGGGGAAAAAATGTTTTCTATCTTAAAAGAGTCTTAAAAATAATAAGCATGTATGTATGGATTCAATTTGTAGATACAGGATAAAAAATAAATTTTTTAAAGTTTTAGCAAATAAATTACGATGCTTTTAAAAAATTAAGCATACAAATATACTCATGTGACACTAAATAGTAATTTTAAAAAAATCCCCTGGATTATTTTGAGCATTTTCAATTCAAACTGAATGTGAATATAGCTATTAAAGAGATTACAGATGACTAAGTATAAAAAGTATTAACTGCCTCTAGGCCCAACAAACAACTTACAAGAAACTGACAGGATAGAGGAACATGTTAAGACTACACCATAGGATGCAATCACTAAAAATTAAACCATGGAAAACTCAACAGAACAAGACTACCTGATTATTTAATAAATAAATTACAAGAAAAAAAGAGAAAGATAGATGGAGGAGGAACTTTTTAAGTCTTAAAAGCATACCAACCAATCACAAAGTAGAGATCTTATTTAGATTCTGATTTAGTCAACATGTAAAAATTTTTTTAATTACTTTTATAAAACAATTGAAAATATGGACACTTACTAGATATTTGGTGGAATTAAAGAATCACTATTAATTGATTTTTAGGTGTGAGAATGGTACTGTCATTATGCTTTTTTAAAAGACTTTATCTTTCAGAGATACTGAAATTTATAGGGATGAAATGGTATGCAAAAGTGTGCTTCAAAATAATATCGCTGGTAGAATTGAGCAGTAGATAGGACTATGGGTTGACCATAAGTTATGCATTGAGGGCAGGTGATAAGTACATGGAAGCTTATTATACACGACTTTCTTTTATGCTCACTGAAATTCTTCATAATAAAAAGCTAATTGCAAGTTTACCATAGCCAGTTAATTCAACACCTTATCCTGCTTTCTATTTAACATGGCACTTACAGAATTAAATGTACATTTGAATTATCCAAAAGAACAAAGGCTGTCAACCTAAAGTTATATATCAACTTATTAAAGTTATAACATTTTTTAAAAGTGAGGAAAAGGCATACAAAGGAAATTTTTAAAGATTCAGAAATTTTAAAAATATATTGTTTTATATTTTTCCCCTCTGTTTTGCATGTGGCTTCTGCTAAATGACCTGCCTTTTCTGTCAAGCCATGTTCAACATCTTTTCAAAATTCTGCTTCTTTTTTCCAGGAAGTTATTGTTCACGAAGATTAATCAGGCTTCAGCTTTTCAGCCACTTCAACACTTTGAGACTTCCATGTTTTGATCTTTCCCCTATTATTTTTAGTATTACTAATACTGTCAACATTTTAGGAGCAAGGAATCAGCTAAACCTTAGTTAAGTTTACATTTCTCTATAGTGTATTAAGTGATTTTAAATCCTACTCTACATGCCACCAAAGGGAGCAATTCCGTTCTAAGAGGAATATACTTGTCTTTGCTTAATGCTACCTAATTATTTCAGCAATAGCTATTATTTAAATACACCTCCCATCTCATCACCCACTGAAGTGGATCAATTACAGTTCATATGCAAAAAGAAAAAGTCAGTCACATAATCATTATAGCTTCCAATAATAAAAATTTAGTTAATCCATTTCTATAGAATGGGTTACTCTTCCCTGTGCAGTCTCATTCATATCTATGCCTTGCCTCTTGATTTTCTCTTTACTGGGAGTGCAGTCTCCCAACTTACCACAACACTCAAACCCTAACTACTCCTTCAACACTCAGTTCAAATGCCACCACTTTTTTATGGCCTTCCTTGGTCTTTCCCAGCTGGGAAAACTTTCTCATCTCCTCAACTCCCATAATATTGGCTATATTTTGGCCCAGACTATTTTCAACCATATACTCTAATTACTTGCTTACTTATCTCTCCTTCTATATCTTATACTACTTAAGGGCAGAACCCATGTCTGATTTCTTTTTTATCATTCCCTTGGCTCTAGAACCATGTTTTGGATCTAGTGTAAGTCCATAAAAAAATGTTGAATGATGAAGTAGGAGGGGCATAAATTACTTAAAATACTTACTGTATGGTTCTTTGAGTAATGCGGGAGGTGAGAGTTTGATAAAATAGTCAAGGACACACAGCATTAACTGAAATGAGATCACCAGATCATCTTCCATTTGTAAAACTTGCCCTGAAAACAAAGAAGGTACACATCTTAAGGTAGAGATTGAGGTCTTTAAGTCAGGGAAAATTGTGGGTATGGCTGTATCCATATACTCATTTATGCAACAATCACTAGAAGCATGTTAAAGATCTTTTTTTTGTTTTTTTGCAAAAATTCAGTCAGATTTGCAACATGTAAAAATATATAAAGTTATAAAATTATAAATGGGGACTTCCTGGTGGCACAATGGTTAAGAATCCGCCTGCCAATGCAGGGGACACGGGTTCAAGCCCTGGTCTGGGAAGATCCCATATGCCGTGGAGCAACTAAGCCCGTGCGCCACAACTACAGAGCCTGTGCTCTAGAGCCCGTGAGCCACAACTACTGAGCCCGCCTGCCACAACTACGGAAGCCCATGTGCCTAGAGCCTGTGCTCCACAACAAGAGAAGCCACTGCAATGAGAAGCCAGCACACCACAACGAAGAGTAGCCCTCGCTCGCTGCAACTAGAGAAAGCCCACACAACAAAGACTCAATGCAGCCAAAAATAAATAAATAAAATAAATAAATTTACTAAAAAAAATTACGAATGAAGTATAAGTCTACCATGAGAATATTACATTTAGGTATTATTATAATAATTCAGTCCCTATGTCTAAATTTATTTTGATTTTTCCTTCTTTAAACTCACTTCCAGTTTTGGTAAGAGTTATAAAATTTACTACCTCTGAAAATCATTTTGAAGAATGATACACGTTAGTCTTCAGTTCTATTTATTTATGAAACCTCATATATTTTCAATTTCAACCCACTCCAAAATATTAAGAAATAACCAAAGCCATTAGGAAATAAGAAAATTAGTACATAATTGTAAAGTCATCTATAAAGCAATTATTTAGCACAAAATCCTAAAAGTTCATATAACATACAACTAAAGAGCTGTATATTTATTATAAAGAGCTGTATATAAGGAAATTAATGCATATAATAAACACCTAAGAAAAAAATAGTGTAGCTACACAAAATATACAAATCATATAGCTATGACACATTTGCTTATGGCTCTATGTTGTGCAGTATTTTTAAAAGAGAAGTTTAATTTGATTCATTTTCTATCTTATTGGTATCTGACTGCTAAACCACTAATAATCCCAATACTGAAGGTATAGAAACTTTCTGGTTAATGTATTAAATCTCAAATTTTAAAAAAAGGAATTCTTCAAATATTCAAGGAACAAAATGGGGGGGTGGTAAATTAAGCTAGTCTCAGATTTCTCAACAGCAATGTTCAATTCCAGAAAATAGTGTCCTGAGGAAATAAAAACATGACACAAGAACAGAATACTCGGGCTTCCCTGGTGGCGCAGTGGTTGAGAGTCCGCCTGCCGATGCAGAGGACGCGGGTTCGTGCCCCGGTCCGGGAATATCCCACATGCCGCGGAGCGGCTGGGCCCGTGAGCCATGGCCGCTGAGCCTGCGCGTCCGGAGCCTGTGCTCAGCAATGGGAGAGGCCACAGCAGTGAGAGGCCCGCGTACCACACACACACAAAAAAACCCTGAATACTCAACCAAGTTGTCCTTCAAGTCTAAAGACTACAGACATGGTTCATAAACATGTCAAACATAGAAAACATGGCGCCAAAAAGGCTTTTTTGAAAAACTCCTTCACGGTAAAATCTAGTCAGCTAAGGATAGACCAAAATAAAGAACTCAGAAATGGAGAAGCTATGATACAGGAGTGACAATAAGCTTAGAATCCATTTTAAATACATAAATGAGACAAAACAACTGTGATAATTATAATTACAGAACAGAATGTAAATATTATAATCTTTGGTAATGTAATGATAACAAAAAAAAGCAAATCTGAAAGCAGGGAATAGGAAGGTGACAGGAAGAGTGAGAATTCTTTTCTTCAGAGCAGATTAATATATATTGCCTTAACTCAAAACCCAAAGTTAAAGATTCTAACCTCTTTAATGTTTTCATAATCTTAGAGAAATATTTTAAGAAATAACACTGCTTAAGTGACAAAACATATAAATTTAAGCAATTCCTTCCATTTCTCTTATTTTCTTCTATAAAATTTGAGTAAAATTAATTTTTATATTTTAAACATAGGACAATATATTATTTTTAGAAACTTATATATATGTTTGTGAGTGCACTCATCCACCCACCTTTTTTTTTTTTTTTTTTTTGCGGTACGCGGGCCTCTCACTGTTGTGGC